TAGTTATAAAATGTCATAAATAGAATTTTGAACGAGCTGAATTTCATTGAATTTAATTTTTTTTTTGCATTTTCCCCTAACATATGAGGAACTGTGGTACCAAACTGAAGTACGAAAAAAAATTAGAATTTTACTTTCTCGTTTTCTTATAAGCTGTTATTATCGCTATACTTTACTCAGGCGTAAATGAAAGAAAAAACACTAGGAAGAATATTCATTTCAAAAATGCATATTTTGCTATTCAAAGATAATAATAGCGTCTTTGTTTGGCATGCTTTTTTAGCTAAAAGCAAGACAAAGAACAATGGTGAAATATGAACCAGCTCTCTTTTTCTTAAAGATTTGACGCTAACAAGCTTTTTTCTTTTTGAAATATTCTAAAATTGCTGACTCCCACTTGAATGGTTAAGGCACTAATGATACGTAAAGAATTCTACTTAGAAAGCTTGAATTCAGCTATAATTAGCGAAGTGATAAATTGCTACAAACTGATCAAGGATCATGCTAATTTGAAAAAACTTTTTTTCAGGATGTGATCGAAAAGATACCAATCCGTGCACGATCGCAGAGCTGGCTGATCAGAACCCGACATCTGCTCGATCATACCAAAGTTCGTTTGATTAAACTGAATTTTTGTCACAATTTTCATTTTCGAGAAAAATGCGGATTTGCTGTACTGAAGCAAAACCGAGGCGATAGAAAAGTCAGTTGTTGTCTAAAAATCCCTCTTTGGGAAGATTTTCTTAGTTTGCCGAAATGTTACTTCGTACCTGATGATCTGGGATCTTCTCAAAACAATCTCAGGAAGAACTGCGGAAGATTTTTTGGGGACGTTTTTGTTAAATTGTTAAAGCAAAGTTGTCATTTAAAACACATGCGAATGCGTTTTAGGATGATGCTGTAATTAAAAGTTGATCCAAAAAAAAACGATTTCCGAAAATTTAGGCAGTTCTAGAAGAAAAGTAGGAAAATTTATTTTTCTCTCTTTCAAATTTCTTTTTTCAAACTAAACATTTTTGAAAATGGAGGGGGAAGGGTTTGTGAGCAGATCGAAAATGCGGCCCTGTATTATTGCTATCACCAAGAACAGCAGCAGGCTGACCAGTCGGTGACGCAGCATTTGTCAATGCAGTTGAAAAGTTGTCAGCTGTATAGTTAGAAAATAATCCAATTGTTTTTCAGAATACAATTTTCTAAAAAGTGTTAAAAACAAACGGTTTCAGGAGCAAACGCCTTTCATATCACTGTGCCTTTACATTTT